GATTTTGCAGCCCACAAGAAATGCCTGGTTGCTGCCCCATTTGGGTTGCTGCTTGCAGCTGTGTGCTCGAGCTAGCTGCTCTGAAGTTGGCTTATATGAGGGACTCTGCATGTCTTTGGTTTTCACTTTCTGAGCAGAGGTATCAAAACACATAGGTTGAGATGCCATCAGTCTCTATTTTGAGCTTTTTCTCAGCTTGAATAGTTTACCAGAGTAAAAAGTAAAAAGAGGATCTTGTTCTTAACTCCATCTGGAATTGGTGCTCCACCCAGAAAAGCCAAGTAATGGTATGATACTCACTGTGGAGTTACTGATTTTGCACTAGTGTGAAGAGCTGCCAAGTCCTGAAGCACTGAAGTTGTATCTCTGCTTGGCTGGTCTGATTTTTCAACTGGGTGGAAGGACTAGCAAATAAATACATTCACATCTTTCAGGTTTCCCTTGCTTTCCAATACTGAGTCCATTTTTCTCCCTAAAAGGACCCTGTTATCAGCAACTAGCTAGTAGCCATTGTGCTGTGTTGGAAACCTGTCTATGGAGTCTGTATCCTGATGATACTGCCTTAATCCCTTGTTGCAGGAAGTTTGTCTTTGGAAGCTGTGTTTCTTCTTGATTAATTGATGGATGTTTAGACCAGGACTTTTCCTACTGTTGCAGAGCTTATGATGGAAATCCTTGAAGAACCTTGCTTTAACCTCCCAGACACTTAGCACTTCTTCATGGGGTTTATATCCACATAGAAATGAATTTGCCAAGACAAATGAAAGCAGTTATTGATTGGAGCAGCTGTTACCTGCTGCTATTGAACAGGTAGGAGAGGGTTAAGAAGAAAACCTCTTCTGAGCCGCTAGATTGGCCCTGACTAAGATGAATGTCTAATTCACTCCCAGCGTCCTTACTGCTGCCAGTAATAAAAAGCTTGCTTCACATATTCACCCCACTGCAGACGTTTCTCTTAAATTAAATATCAAGAGGACATATAATAGCACGATTCCACGCCAAGCCAATATTATCAGATTGATGTCAGCAGTGATAATAGAAGAAGGATAAGTTGATGAGATTTCATTTATTAAATAAAGGGAATATGCAGTGATAGAAAGGATTTGGTAACTCTTGGTGTGTCAAAATGCAGCAAGATCACACTCATTCTGTCTTACCTCAAGGGACAACAGGGAGAAGGATGCCTTTTGTTTCATTTTAAGAAAACCTCCCTTCTGTTCTAGACAAAGCACTGATTTAGGTCCTTCCATGGGAGGGGTAGAGTAAGATCTGAGATCGTGGATTTGGTGTGTACATGTGTCTTCCTTCATTTGGAAGGATTTTCGGGTGTCTTCTTTCCACTGCACAGTGGTGAGGCAAAGGTTTATTTCCCCACATGCAGTTTGTGGGGAGGCACTGCTAGGGACTTTTATTTCTAGATTTATCCTTTCCTTTTTCCTACCTGTCATATTTTTCTCCTTTCCTTTTCTTTCAAACAGACGAGAATGTGTTATTGGTTCAGTCTTTCATATTCTGGATGTCCTGCACTTATTTCTGAGGTATTATCAGAGCTCATCTCCCATATATGCCTGTCCACGGGTAATGTCCTAGCCCCTCCCAGTCCAGCTTTTCTCTCTTGCCTTTTTCCTAGCTGCTATGAATGAGCTTCTTACATCTGGTTTGATAATATCAGTAGCAGTCATAATGTGTTGTGTTTTTGTTTTTTTTTAAGACAGAGGCTAATTCTCTACCTTTTTTGGTGGTAGCATATTTTGCTTAAAATTATGAGCCATGTTAGAAGAAAGATCAAAGCATAGTAGTCTTCTGCTCTTCATGTATTCAAAGCTCATCCCTGCTCTACCATGCTCCTTCCCCCTTGTTATTTAAGAAATAATAAAAGCTCTCAAACAACAAGGTGTTTAGTAAGAGCAGAGGATTGGAGTGTCCAGGAAGATTTTTTCTAAAGGTTGGTTAGTGCCAACAGCCTTGTGAGCTGGGCTGAGGTTGAAGGGAGATCATTGATGAAGGTCCACCTCCTTTGGAAATCAATGGGCCATTGCTCTCAACAGAGATGTTTGCAGTTAGATGCTGCTGGTCTCCAGCAGGCTTTTCATGTTTAATTCCTTTTCTTTTCAGATATGGGTAAAGCCAGACAATGGTAAAGTGCAGCTTGTTTATAGGGCTGTAATTCCCACTTGTGGAAATGTTGCAACCTGAAGTTGAGAATTAAGGTGAACAAGAGGATGGTGTCCCTTTGATAGAACAAGAGTAGTGGTTGCTGTGCTGGGAGGGAAGCTCCTCAAGCAATTGCTCAGTTGCCCTTTTCCAGTCCAGACGGATACCAGAACTTATGTACTCCTGGACTCTGCACGATATGCTTCCCTGTGGTGAGCTCACATTTACTTCTTGTCCCTTCATTTCTTAGACCACACCACTGTGGCACAGTGATAGTTACCTCCCTTGCTTCCTGCTCCAAAGTCAAATGTCATTCTCAATAGGATTTAACAGGTTCTGTTGGATTTCCAGTTCACTTGTGAATGCACTAATATATTGGTTTGTGTAACTTGTATTAATAATGACCTTGACCAACATTGCATTATGTTGATTAGTTTCTCTAAATCTGTTTTGAGAAGCTGGTGTGATTGATGCATAGGCAGAGTTTGAGGTTTTACTTTGAAGAAATAAAGGAGAATATTCTTGTTATGATTCTGAGTATGGTACCCACACATCCTCTCTGTTGCAGGAAGTGGCATGGATGAAGGCTGATGTAGGTACTCACTAGGCAATGCATGCCATTCTGTGTTGATGGGTCCCTTGTCTCTGGCAGGCTTTGGGCAGCAACACCCATTCTGTGGCTTCTCACTTAGCTCTGTGTGGCTTTTAAGTAACCCTTTAAGACACCTTGGGCTGAACACCAAAGTGTCTCCTGAAGAAGAGGACCATGGACTTGGCATTCC